ATCATGATAGACATTAAACTGGTTTCACAAAAGTACACCCAGAAAAAAAAAAATCAAAACCCAAGTTTGCCACTAACATTCTTTAAAGCAGAAGTACTATAGAAAAAAATTCTCAGAACTGAGATGAGATTCAGAATTTGAAATAGCTATTACATAAGATAACAAACAATAGAAACATGAAATTAAGTTTGGAAGTTTTTAAACATTTATCAAAACAGCAATATATTCCGAATAACAAAAAAAATTAAACAATATATAATGTTGTATGTTATAAACCTTCTGAAAATAAGGTAATGCCCACAAGAAAATCATAAAACTCCCAAAACAGCCATATAGACAGGTGATACAAACTGCCTTAGAACTGCTGATCCATAAATAATATTCATTGTTTCCCAAATTCTATCAGAGTATTAGATCCTTTTTTCTTACTGGGGAATTGACCACGGTATGCCTGTTGCCAATGTATTAGATCCATTTCACAACAACTACACAGGAGAACTTTAAAGAATGATACTGAGTTGATGAGCATTGTGATAGCCTGCTTTGTATTTGTCTTTGCAGGGTTTATTCTATCAGAAGTGTCATTAACTCTGAAGTCTGACTCTCCTACTGGCCTTTGGTATCTTGTGTTTTTCATTTGACTTTCAAACTCTGTCAGCAAATTCTTCTAACAAGTGCAAGTCTCTGTTGTTCAACACTAACATGCTCGAGTCCACTTATAATAAATGTTTTTAAAAATAGAAGGGAACATGACTGTTTTTCATTACTGTCATACTGTGTAGGGAGAAACAGCTTATTGTGGAAAAGAAAAAAAAAAAAGCCTCCACAGAGCATCTGAAAATTGTCAATTACACAACCAGTATGCATTAATTGGCTCGCACTTAGGGAAGGTACACAAGCTTCCCCTGTGAAGATAACAGACATCCAGTTTCTGTCTTCAGCCTTTTAAAACTGAGAGAAGAGAAGGTTAGGAGTAGCCTGTCAGTTCCTGCCTTTGAGCACTGAATTATTAATTTACACAAAAGACTACATTAAAAATGCCATTAAAACAACCCAAAGCAGCACACTGATAGTTTAAAGGGGAAGTTCACGCTTCAGTAATCTGCCAAAACCAATATATGCTGTTTAAACATAATTTAATTTTCTTTCTCATCGTTTTGTTTGCCACTACCTAATCATCTAAGGTGTCTGTCGAGGTCTGTGTTTGGTACCCTTATGGTTCATCCTACTGCTTGTGCCAGAGATTGAGCAAAATTACTTGGAAACCTCACAGGACACTTGCAAGACAGTGGGCTAATGACTTTCATAAAGTCTGTAACTCCACTGCAAGACCAGGCAGACCAAAAGCCAGCAAAGGAAACACCTCTTATACATCTTTGAAGACAGGAAAGTGAATAGAAAATATTACTAGTAATCTAAACTTTCTCATTGTGAAAGCATTTTGTCTCTTTAAATGTAGGCTCCTGTGAAATTCTCCTATGTTTTAACTCCATCAAGTTTCATTCCCTACACTGAAAAGTAAGTTATTTTTCTGCAGTCTACTGCAGTATATTAAACATAGAACTAGTGCCAGAAAGGGTAAACTCAGGATTTCAAGACCTTATCAACCACTTATGTTGCACTCACATCTCCAGAACTTGGTAGAGAATCAGATGTAATTTGGAGCATACTTTTTAGAAAGAATTGGTATTTTAGCCTGACATGAATACATGTATAACGATTCTTAGTTGACTATTGCTCTGAGAGGCACTTGTCAAACAGGCAATCATAGTCCCATGGAAGGACATATCTCCTTCTTATCCAAGTGAAGACAATTTCAATACCAATACAGGATTAGTCCTTTTTGGGATGGCATGTCAAAGTATTAATCAAAAAAAATCAGGATGTGGTTGAGTCAAAAAACAGTTGCAAAATTGGACCACATCAGCAAAAGATATGTTCTGTTTCATCCAGGTGAGAGACGGGTGCAGCATTCAGAAACATACAATGAAGAGAGATGAGCGTACTCTGGTTTCTACCCCTTTATGCTCTAGTCTGGTTAAGGAAGATTACTGAATGCAGGTTATCTTTAACTGTTTGCCTAAACCTGACGGCGAGTCAAACCCAGGCGCAGCACTTGAGTTTGATCCTTGCTTTTCCTTGGGAAGTCTGTGAATCACTAGACTAAAAGACATACAGAGGCAGACTTCACTCGAGCTGTGCTGTTTGCATAAAATACCGGCGTAATAGTGCTAAGAGGAAGGACAGACAGAAAAAAACATGAAATCCCTTGCATCCAGCAGGACTATCTTTACACTTATACTATGACAGTAAACCAGAAAAACTGTACCACCTCCACTTTATTAGCATCTGTTAATTTTGGTTAAAATCCAACTCTCTCCTCTGTTTGTTTTTGCTGTTAAAATTATATAAAGTGAAAATAACTTTTTTGTTTTCATGGAAAAAAACCCTCATGTTTTCAATCAGAGATTTTTTTTAAATTACAGAAACTAACCCAAAAAGTCACTTCACATTTCTAGCAGTGACTGGTTCCATTTTTTTCCTCTTCATCTTAATAGCGAGATCCTTAAGATGTCTCTACTACCATATTGAAAGCTTACCTTACAATTTTAAGTGAGGACCTTCATTCAGTGCATGAGTCATTGAATGATACTGTTTCTTTCATTCTACATTCAACTGTTTTAAAGCACTAAGAGTATGGCTTTCTAGGTCATAGTACTGTGTTTCAGTATTTTTCAGTAAAAAAAAAGGATGGTCCAGCTCTGACTGATCTTATAGATATTATAGTAAATATTTATTTTTCTATATGATATACATAGAGTTATCGACCTGCCATTACAATAAAAGTAATTTTTGAGATGAAGTAATTTCAGCATTTCTGCAAATAATTCCTGAAAATAAAATAACATATATTAAGTTTTCTGTGCCTGCAAAAAAAGAAAAAAGTCCATTTCTCTGATCATAAAGGGCAAGAGATATAAATTGAACATGAAAAAGCACTGTCAAATGCAAAGAAATCACCTGAAAATTGATGGGCAGTGAACTCTGCAAGCTTTATGACCAACCTTTGTATTTGTTTAGAGGAGATAGTTAGAGACAGTGCTAGGACACTCTGTATCTGCAGATTTCAAGATTAAAGACTGGCTTTATGCCAGTTGAACACATATCTGTCAGAGCAAGAAGTTAGGCAAAATGCAGTTCTCTAATTCACATGAAAATGGTTCCTGCAGCCATAGCTTTGAGAACTTCCAGAGCACCTGTGTTTTGAATCAAGATTTTGAAGTATATCCCAATAAGGCAGCTATCTTTACTTCAGGTATGCATCTCTATTTGCCCAAGGTTAAGGTTTTAAAAAAAAAAACAAACAAAAAAGCGTGGTTTGAACACTGTGCGAAGATATTTGAACCGGGCAGTCAATCAGCAATTTCACCTGTGCTGCGCATACTTAAGCAAGTGCTTCTTTTGATTGTTATAGGCTTTTAGTATCAAAATGTTCAAGGAAAAAATGCACAAAGATTCTTGAGTGTCTCTCTCTCCTTTGTGGTTTCAGCCTTTTAGTACTCCCACTGCAGGAGACAGACAAAAAGATGAATTTTATCTATTACGCTGAGATGTCTTTGAGAATGATTAAATCTTTAGTCTTCCTCCAGACCTGCAGGCAGAACACAGGTTTTGTGCTCATCAATACCCTGCCCTTTACAGACAGTGAAAGGACGTGTCAAGTTCTCCTTCACCAACGTGTCTAGAGCACATTGTAAAGCATTTGAGTAGCACTGTTTGTTAAGAGATGGAATATAAACTTTAGAAAAATGTGTGTCAGCAGCATTGCTACAAAGGACTGAATAATTCCCTTACTTGATGTGACAAACTGAGATACATCTCTGAATTTGTAAAATCAATTTTGTTTTGGTTGGCACAAATACAAGATGGGTGGGGGTGGATGACTTCAATTTTGTCCCAAGAAAGAAAATATATTTTATAGAAAACTTACTCGGGGAAAAGGAGATAAATAAGGCTTTTATAATTCTGAGCTTCCCTGGGGCTTAGTCAGGAAATCATGTCCTATCAACATTCACTGAATTCTGAGCATACCTGGCTTCTGGATATGTAATATATAAATTTGCAGACTGTCTTTTCAGTCCCATGACCAGTATCTAGGTCAGTCTTTGCTAGGAATTAGAACTATATTCACATGGTTTAAGAAGGCTACCCATACTAAATTATTCATCCATATTAGAAGAATAGGTTTCATCAGCAGAAATTGCCGAAAAGCCAATGGAGAGTATACATGTGGAGAATATTCATGCCTGATTTCTCCTGATTTAATTATTCAAACGAAAATGAAACAGTTTTTCTCCTTTCTTTATCACTGTTTAAGAAGCACGTTTGTTCTATGGAAGGGTCCTTTTCGAAAACAGAGTGGTCAATGCATTAGTCAGGTACTCTGCTTTTGAACAGAGACAAGGTCAAGCTTTGGTAACTGTTTGGTCTGTTATGCTTTGGTCCCTGCCCTCACTCTCCCCACTCCCTTCAAATACCATACAATACATTTATGTGCTTTGACAGGGGAGAAAGACATTTTATTAACAAAATTGTTTACCAGCTATACTCTCTTCCCTCTCTCTCCACATTTCTCAAGGTAGGGTGATTTGACACCAGGGGTCACCATAAACATGTGAACTCCAGAAAAACATGGTTTAACTTCCAGTGATCACAAAATCAAGGGTATGGTAGGCAGACTGTTTCTAAGAATGAATTATCCAACTGATTATCTAAAGATCCAGTACTGATGTGGTTCTTAAGAAATTGATTCTGGTCTGAAAGTCTAGATGTTCAGTTACACTAGAAGCTGTTACCCTCTAAAGTTGTATTAATCTACAGGTTATGTAATGATCATTCTCTTCACGGGAACCTATATAGGTACTGAACAAAAAACCCACCAGAAAAACAAGTTTACAGTTCTTACTTTGTGCAAATAAGTGGAAAAAAACTGGACTCACTTGCAGGAAATTTTTGTGCGATCCACCACCATAGTCCACTGCTGCTGATTCGTAGAAACCTCAATGTAGTAGCTGTAACTCCGATCATCACAGTCCCAAAGTAGCAACCTAAGCATATGAACAAGTTGTTGAATGATAAGTAAAACAAACATCAAACCAAGCTTCTTAAGTTTGCCAGTCCTTTATTTTCTCCACTTAATCCTTTATAAATGTAACTGTTTCTTTTGCAATGTACCTCTAGCACTCAGCAAACTTTACTGTTTCTGCCATCTCAAACTACTGTGTCTCTATTCTTATTATCCCAAGGCCAGTAATAGGCTTACAGGCTTATAATAACCATCTTAAGAACATTAATCTATTACATTCATCCAATTGCTTTCAATTTAATTGGCATGTGGCACTGCCGGCTTTAAACACGAAATGAAGATGTCTCAACAGGTCAGTTTAGGAGGGGACAGAAAAAAAGAATTGGGTGATTTAAAAGGATTAAGCTGTCTTCTTAACTGTATTCTCTTGGTTTTGGTAAATATATCATAAATACATTTAGAAAAACCCACAAAACCCCCACAGAAATAATAAATATATTAAAAAAAATGAGTAGGGAAAGGGGAATTTCCAGTCCTGGTTCATCAGAATATGACAAAAAAAGGCAATGAATTGTTAAACAAATTGCTAAAAAGGCAGAAGAAAAAGGAAGACCATAAAGGTCTCAAGGACTCATTCTGTACTTATTCTAACAAACATGCAGCTCTTCAGGAAGGGCACTAAATAACATATTGAATAGCCTTCGATTTCCATACTTGCCTTACAGGGAGGAAGACATAAAGCATCAGGGATGTTATTTATCTTATTTATCTTAGGTACCGAAACACACATTTGGCAAATGTATCTTCTTTACTTTTCTTTATATGGGGATTATTGCCCTGTTGTAAGAGATATTTGGCCCAAAACTGGACACAGTACTTGAGGTGCAGCCTCACCAGCGATGAGTAGAGAGGCAAACAATTTAGTTCAGCGCTTTTTTTTTTTTTTAGGTTTTGAAATCCCAGCATTCAAAATGGAATTAGGTCTAGTAGACAAGCAGATTCAAAATAAATTCCCTCGATGCTGAATCTAGCTCATTAATATTATCAAAAATAATATGCTGTCACAAATAGCTTTAAGAAGCTAAAATAAACCATTTTTAACACAACCATTTTAGAACATGTTAAAACTGTCTATTTGCAAATTAAAAGATTCAGACCTGACTTAGTAAAAAATAAAAATAGTTGCCTGTGGCACCATGAAAGACTTCAAAAAAATACCACACCCCAAAACAAAACCCCCCAACTTCAACCCCTTTCCTTCATCAAATCATCCTCATTCTGCTTTTCCATAGCTCGAAGGTCTCGAAATACTGAAGACACTGAATAAAGCGTATTTTCTTAAAAAAAAAGTTTACTGATTACAATCCTTTATTTGGTTAACTACTACTAATCAACAGATTCTGAATTGATTTAACATTTATATTTAAACCAAGTCTTCTAAATGATAAAAAGAGGGAAAAGTAAAAACATTCATAAATTTGTTTTCTTTCAAAAAGGCTATTAAAATGTAGCTAATTATGCTTTTCAATAGAATCCTTTTATCATGGGGACTCGGTGTCGTTTCCTTGATCCTTGTTTTTCAAAGCTATGATCAAGAGTTTGAATATCAGAAGCACACTGGTGACTGTAATTTCAACTAACAATACTCTAATTAAAACACAACTGGCTTGGCTGCAGAGCAAAAGGCTAACAGGACATGTGTGTTACTTTCAAACACATGTATAATTGCTCTCTCCCGAAACAACCTAGCCCAAGTTAAATAGGTTTAGAAAAGCGTATGGCTTAGAATTATTACAAAGCAAACAATGAGTAATTAAAGTTGGAGGAATCTTTCCCAAAGTGACTTAGCATGAATACTAAATGTAAATTTTTCTTTCTTTGGTGCTTGTGAAAGAAAATGAGAAGTTATTTCTTCTCCAGTAGCTTTTTTAGGAAAGACTGGGGAGAGAGACTGACAAAAGAACCTATTTGGAATTTACTCTGCTTGAAAGCCTTTCTGTATAAGCAGTGAAAACCTTTCAGGTGACAACGTGAATATTCACCAGTGCATACAAAGCACAAAGGCCACTTTTTACACCAGGTATAATAGTATTTGCAATACATTCCAGGCAAATTACCAAGCTACTTTTGTAGAAAAGCTATGTTTTTCTAAGATGGATATTAATTGACAGGAAGAAGAATACTCTAGTCAAAAAGTCTATACCCATTGGAAATGCATCTGTTTATAGAAAAATTGCTCATGTTCTTAGGACTTTCCATATTAGAATAAAAAGCTAAATTAGCTCATTAGTAAATCCTGCCCTCAGGATTAAGAAGGAAAAGTCAAATGAAGATTTATCCATCTTACACCCTGCAACATTGTGAGATTTAAACATATTTCTTGTTTGGGAATCTAGAGTCTAGGCCTGTAATTTAATATGACATCTTTATTTACATCACGTGTTGACAATGCCTCACTTTATAAAACAAAAGCTTTTAAAATATAAATAAAACTTCATATTACAGGTGTGGGACACAGATTATATAGGCTACCTGTTACATAAAAAGATGCTGTAGCCCTTTTTAAAACAGTATATCCTTAAATGTCACGTGTTGCTCTATGATTGAATGTTCTGTGCTTCTACAAGCATTTTGTGTTGTCTCTGCTTGCTTTTTATTCCTAAATTTCTGTAAAAAAAGATTGTCACTTCTTAGTTCAGACTGCTGTATAACTACAGGTACTCAAGGTGTTAGCATAATACCGAACACTACTAGTTGTGCATCTGACAGGATGACACCTCTTTCCTGAATACTATTAAGTCACTATTTAAATGTATGGCATAAATATGATCATACTTTGTTCATAAACCACTTGCACACCTTAGAAACCCAAAAGACAGAAATTAAAACATGAGGTAGCGACACTTCTTGAAAGATGAAGAAAAAGAAAGAAAACCCAAAACCACACGGGAGGAGTTTTCTTATACAATATTTGTGGCATTTTTGCCTCTGGATGTCTATAAACCTCTTCAGTTTCGTGCAGATATTTATGTTTCAGCAGCTATCCTGCAAGAAACCAGTCGTTCAGGATCTTACAGAGGAGATAAAATTCCTGCACATTTGCTAAGTGTTCCTGCGATCATTCATTCTGAGCTATGATTTCACTCTCAAGTCAGACAAGCACAGAAAAGGAGCAGCAAAGAAAGAAAAGCTTCCTAAGCAGAAGTGGTATGGAAAGTTAGAAAGCATAAGAGATGTATATTATGATGGTACAAGCAAAAATTCATTTATATTGTTCGTTAATTTAAGAATTACTCTGAATATGAAAAGCTATCATATTAGCAATAAAGTCTTCAAATAGATTAAACTTGGATAAGTGGTTAATGTACTTTTCTAAAGATGCAAAATATTTCCATTTATTCTAACAAAAAAAAATCACTGTTACAGAATAATTCTGTCTCCCTCCACACTATAACAAATCCCATTTTATGTTTTGTTTTCTTTCTTTTTTTTTAAATTCATAGGAAAAAATCAAGCAAAGACCATAGTGTAATAGTATTATATTTCTCTTCCAGATAAATGCAGGGAGAGTTAGAGAGTTATTGTGATGTGGCAGCCATTTCAATATTAAAGTTTTAGCCATTAGTTAAACTATGTTTAGTATGTTGCACACAGCAATCGCTGTCTTTCTCTTCCTAATTAAATACTTTTACTGTCATTGATAAGAAAGGGTCTTTTCACAGAAGAAAAGAAGAAGGTTATTTTGTGCCCAGACAGGCAACTATGTGGAAAAACTACCTAACCTAGCATTTTCTCTGTTAACTGTTCCAAATATCTTGTAAGCTGTTCTGAGTATTAATAAAAGAATAAACCTCTTGAATTATTTTTAAAAAATTTATTTACAGTTTATTTAGTTACAATTATTTTTTAAAAAAATCACAGAATCATAGAACAGTTTGGGTTGAAAGGGACTTTTAAAGGTCATCTAGTCCAACCTTCATGTTTTCCAAGTCTTCCCTATTACAAAATACTACTGAGCACTGACTGTCATTACATCTTTTCAGAATTTCTGAGTAAATTTTGATATGTAAGTCAAGAGCTCCAAATTTATATACAAATACCTGAAAAAGTATTCAATATTAACAAACTTTCAACACAGTCTCCCATAGCATTCTTGAGTCAAACTGAACAGAAGATACCATAAGTTGCCTATGTGCCTTCTCAGCAATGAAGCATGTGGAGCTGTAGCAACAGGAACTGAGCCAGCTAAACAATGGAAAGAGATGATTCTCCTCTACTTGACACTTGTTAGATCATACCTGGCATACTGAGTACCATTTTGCATCCAAATACAAGTGACAGATCTGAACAATTACAGCAGAGGACCATCAGAATGGCCATGAGGTTGGAGCACACACACTGTGAGGCTGTGGAAATTGGCTTCTTTAGCCTAAGAAGGCCTAGGGTTGGGAAGGAACTTAACAGCACTTGCCAATACCTAAGAGCAGGTTATCATGGGCTACCCAGAAAAGTTGTGGAATTTCCTTCCTTGGAGGTTTTCAAGACCTGAGTGCATAAAGTCCTGAGTAGTATGTTCTTTTTTCATAGATTACACTCCTTTGCAAAACAAGCTGGGTTAGATGTCTTCTTCCTCAAGTGCCTTCCAACGTGAAGGGTGCTAAGATTGTAGGACAATGAATGACTTTGTCAGAAAGCATGCACACAAATATATACTCTTGAAACATTAAACTCTCTGTGCATTTCTAAGGCATATTTGAGTACCGAGAGTTCTTCTGGTTTTTTTCATACTCAGAATTTAGTTGTCATGGTAACACATTCTGTCTTGGAGCCTCTCACCAGTGGTATTCTGATTTCTACAGACTAAAAGCAGATACCACTCTGTTTTCAAAGGCTCATGTATTTACCCTCTTTGAAACAAATATATTCAATGGCACATTTGTGTTTCTGAACTAAAAAGATATGTACTTTAATTCCTAATTATTCATTCAGAATCTAAACCCACAGGCAGATTTCTGTCTCTAGGCAATGCAGGTAGCCTCCTCTGTCAAAAGATATCCCAGATGATAACACTGTTGTTTTCTTAAAGTAAGCTATTCATCTGGTTTGTACTATACATGCAGGAAAACTGACAGAGAAAGATGAGATTCTCATCTTGTAGCTGTACAATGCAATACCACATAAATCACTAAATGCCTATTAGTTTTAAATTGTGTAATGTTTGGGTTATTTTTTTTAATTTGCTCTACACCCTTGCTGATTATATAATTATCATTTCTTGGCAACCAAAAGTCTAGTTCATCCAACTCACTATTTAATAATAAGACTTATTAAAAATCTTCTCTTAAGAATAAACACTAGTATAGTATTGAATATAGGAAAGCCAGACTTTCTTCACTGACTGGAAAATATGATACAATTCACCAATTGAAATGTAGCAGAAAACAGTAAGATAGGAAGACAGATTATGAACTGAGAAACTAGGAATATTGGTTATTGTCTTACTCCTTCATGTGGTCAAAGCCTTTGCTGCTTTAAGTTTACAGTGGCAGGAAAATGATATAAGTACGTTTCATTTATCTATTTTAAGAAATGTTAGTAGTGCATTTTCCTGGTTTTCTAATTGAGATGCAATACTTAATTGAACGTTAAAAACATCAAACTGAAAGGCATAAAACACTGACTGTGGAAAGTTTCCAAATACACTTATTCAACTTGTTTCAGCAAGAACAAAGCCAAACTTGGATTATGCATAACATCTATAGCTAGCACGTAGATAAAACACTACTTTTGTTAGGTTACGGATATGCCTGGATGTTTGATTTTAAACTTTATCTTAAAAGTTTTACATCCATCATAACAATGCCAAGGGTCAAACCCAAACCAAACAAAACAGAAATTATGAAGTTACAAAAGAGCTTTCAAGTCTCATTTGGCTCATCAGTCAGTTTGAAGAGGCAGCTCTAACAGGCGGACCCCACTGAGCTCCTAGAAATACGTACCTATGTGCGTGATCTCTGTTGCAAGCCATACTCACCTGGGGTTTCAACCTTTGCTCACTGGTACTCCAAACTTCAGAAATCTTTCCCTTTTTTTCATTGCCGCAGAGCATACAAATTACATCCCTGACTACATATTCTAAATTTACAAAGAACATGATGCCATAAAGACAAGGTTTTGCATGCTGATTTTATGAAACAAGAACCACAAACACTCATAGTCAGAATCTGAAGTTTGCAAATTTTTTTTGTCTTCACCTCTGAAAAATCCCTCTTTCCAATCTATTTCCTAAGTCTGTATGTTAGCCAAAAGTTTGATCTTCATATGTATACAGACATTCACTGTAGAAAGAGCTCAATGAACTTCAATCCAAATCTAAACACATTCATTAATCCAGCATTCTAAAGGAATAGTCAGGTTACTGTACCTTTATTATACCGTTCATGTTCAAGTAAGAACTGGCACTAATTGTATAGTGAAAAGGAAATCTGGCTGACTGGAGGTGATGATTTTGTTCAATAAAATTGTTTTCACAATGAAGTGGATAAGAGGAATTGCACCTACTTAACCAAAAGTGAGACAGAAATTAAATTCTATTTTAAAATAAGTATATAACTTTAATCTTACAATTTGACTGTTACTATTATTATGCCTCTGTAATGCAACATTTTCAGGAATTGCACTGCTGTATCTCAACAAATAATTCACACATTTAATTTTTTAACACACCTATTATACTGAAGTAAGAAGCCAAATCACAACGACTAAACCAGTCCCCTAATTGATGTTGTTCCCAAATGTCACATATTCTATTAAAAGTTTCACTGCGGCCTTTAATTTAGAGAAAAATAAACCTTCTTACCGTATTGATCCAATCATGTAGGGCTGTGCTAGCTGTACTACAATAGCGCCGCTCCCAAGCTGATGGCACGTGTATCCTGAATCCCAGTCATAGTTTTTTGTGTCTCCATTCAATAAGGCATTACGACTGCGACTTACACCCTCAATCACACTGGCACAGTCTGCAATTGTTGCAACATTTTCAGTGGGAACTGTGAATTAAAAACATAAAGATGACAGAAATACAGTCAGAAAACAGTTCAGATACCAGTGGACTTTATTGCTGGGAAAGGATTGGCTAAAAAAGAGAAAATTCAAAGTATGGTCAACAGAAGGAAATTTAACTCATATAACATGAACTATGAACAAGTGGTACAGATAACTTTTACAGCATTGACCCCAGAATAGCTTGGTAAACTAACAGATGGATTTCAGTCTTGGTGATATGAAAGCACTCTTTTAATACAACTGGAAAAAAAACATCTTGTTCAGCAAAAGTTTAGAAATTTTAAAACAATTTCTTCCTGTTTTCATGATGAAACTTCCCTCTCTACTGCCAAATGAACAAATGAATAGAGACAAAGAAAAAAATTGGGAGATAATTTAGAGCACTGATCTGGGCTGTAGGAAGTCAGGACTCAAATTCTTCAAAACTAGGGCTTGAAGACTCACACCTCAGGAGACTATTCTCAACATGTACCTGTTGGTACCTCTGACAGTCTCTCTGACTGTGATGAGAAATTGCACCCCAACCTTAAAAAATGAAATTTTTTAAAAATATTTATAAAATCTTTCAATATCAGTACTGGACTACAAGAGAAAAGGAGAGACCAATAGGTCTGTAAGACAATGGAACTGCAAATGTAGAAGTATTTTTCATTCAGCCAAGAGACAGGAAAGATGTATGACTGAATGCCACAAAAAACCCTATAATATCCCAGCAGAATATAAAATAAACTACTTTGAACCCATCCTCTTGAAAAAAGGAGGGCCAGAACACAGGATAATGATTTCCCTATAGGAGAGAGTGATGGAATTATACTCTCCCCATTAATGTCATCAAAGATCCTTGCTGGATAATTCTTTCTTCTATCCTATAAGCAGTCATAAAAAATGCCAGTATGCAGTACTGTTATACCAAAGAAAGCTGAAGGCACTACTGCAAATATCAAATTTGCCCTCTTTCATTCACCAGATATGTAGTTACTGGAATATTATTACAGGGAAAACAAGTAAGTTAGGAAACTCAAAAAATTTTCAAATTAGTAAAAGCATTCCTGGGAAAATGGAAGGAGGGAGTTTAATTAAAAAAAAAAAAGGTAGATTACAATTCTAATTGCACAGGCCAGTGCTAAACTGCTACCTTATGCTGCAACATCTATAATGAACTCTTTCACCTCTACAGCCCCTCTTGCAATCAGTGTACATATCCAACACTGTGGTCTATGCATCAGCATCATCTAACTTCAGTTCTTCCTTCTCCCTAGCACATCCAGAACTGAACACTCTAGACTGGAAACTGCTGTTAGAAATCAAATTATATAAAAGGTGATATAAACCTTTTACTAGGCATTTTTAGAAGTAGAGGAACAGAAGGTACTGGGCAATAAAAAAAAGTGTAGTGTTCAGAATTGTTATTCTTTAGCAAAGGATGTAACTTCAGCGTTGGTTTCTAGAAAACTTTCCAAGGAGAGGAATGCTCTTCTTATACTCACTTAGTCCTGCTTAATCTGATTTACATCTCATGCTAAGTAGTTTACTCCCTCCTTTCAAATCAAACAGAATTCATCATATAGTTAGAACTTGACATAATTTCAGCAATTTCAAAGATCAAGACAACAGCAGCTCCTCTGGGAACACACTGTAAGAAGGAGGTATTCTTCCAGCACTGTTTTACAAGTGCTTCAACGCTTGTTTTTCAAATTACATATTATTTCCCTTTGTTAACATTTGATCAAGTATGGCACTTTCCAATTGTAATTCAGAGAGAATCCTAAGCTTTTTGAATGTCACCTTCCAGCAAGATGACAGATAACATAAAACCCCCAAAACTATTGGGTTTATGCCCCAAGCTATATGCCCCAATCATGTCCAGCACTTTCCTAAAAAGCTCAGTTTCTAGTTAACCTCCTTAGCTTCTAAAACTCTCTCTATTCCCTCTCTCAATCAAAAAATTAAAATTAACAAGGCTGAAAAATATGCTCTCTGAACATGTGAAAATCAAGATTGTCTGCTGAGCCTTTGTTTTTTGGAGGGAAAATGTTAGAAGCACTGCTTGTTCATCTAAATGACAAGAACTCTTTCAGCACAGGCTGTATTAAAAAAGAATCTGAGATTTTGTGTATCGTCCTCTGATAAAGGACAAACAACCTGTACCATTTTAAGCCTGCTGTACACGGATAACTTTTTCACACACTTTTAATAGCTGTCTGTAAAATATGTATTAAAATACTACAACATCTGAAAATGACTGAAACATAGCTATGTGAAACTTCAGAGCTATTGTATGAGTCTCCAGCACGCAAAAAAGAGATAATTTTCCACAAAGAGCTGGGATTCCGTGTTTTAAGTGGGCTACTGGTATCAGGAGCATAATCTTAGACAACCACCAATGAACCAAAACACCATAAAACACACCCTGGGAGGAAAAAGTGCAAGCTTGTTGCCAAGTAATAATCCAAGGCAGTGGAAAAGCAACCATTTCTAAAAAATCTACTGTGCTATCAAATGTACTACCATCTCTGTTTGCTCATAAAAAAATTACTAAACCCAGCACATTATTATTCCAGAAATCTCTTGATTCCCCTATCATATCCCCTACTGAAGAGAGGCATTCAACAATTCCCAGATTCTCGTAGGGGAGCAGGTGGTAGACATTAGAAGTACTTCACTGGGAACAATCTGAATAAAACAAAGACTAACAATGCAAACTAAAAGTACTAGCATCGAAATAAAGTTTGCCTTGACTTCCTTTTCTTACCCTCCTCTCCAGGAGTAAGGGAACTTCTTTGAGTATCCATTTTATATAGGTTTTAAAGCATCTTCTACATATGGCTGCTTTTTGTAGGAAGAGGAAGCTATTAAAATCTTGATTAAAAAAAAATGAATAAAAGATGAAGTGTCAAAATCAATGTTCATGTTGAAGCTCCATGGCATATTCCAGACACACTCCAAGCAATGTAAGGTATTAACTGAATGGAGTGCAGCTCAGTTCATCCACTATTTTGCCTGCATGCCCTCTGAGCATCATCCCGCTCCTTCTCACATCTACATTTCTGCACTAATCCATGACCTCCTATGAAGATGTTACCCTGATTAGTCAAACTTCTTAACAACCACACAGAAATTGTCTTGGTGTGTTTTTAACATAATCCTGTGGTCTTCCCTACATCAGCTAATTAGAAAGTGACTCAAACTAATTGAAGTGTGCAGAATGTGCCATACTGTTTCTTTTCTCTAGGGGGTCTGCCACTCCCTATTTTGAATGTTCATTATCACCTTTTATATCCGCTTGATAAATTTATTAAAAATACCATCTGGTGGGGACTCTGCGCTGTGCTGTATTTTAAAGTCTTCTGGTTCTCTGTCTTTTTCCCGTTAGAATTTCTGCTTCAATTTAGGTCACTTGTTTACAAAAACATACTGCCAAAAACAACAGTCTTGTTTCTACTTTTTTTTTTTTTTAATCCATCAGCTATTCAGCTTTTACGGTAACCAGTACTGTAAGGGAAAACAAAAGAGGAGATTACAAATATGGAAATTGCTTTTTTCCCCACTGTTCATACAGTAGTTTTGCCCTGAAAAATCTGATTTGCTTTTACGGAACAGAAAAGATGTGTGTGAGTAAAGCATATACATTCTGTAAGCAAACAAAAGGAAAAGATGATTGAGGTTACAGGACAGCAGCAGCAAACATTTATTAAAACTTACTTTCTTGTCTCCTGGTCTTATGCTGCAGTATAGAGCGATGAACATCTGGCAGTATATTTAATGCTAGTAATAGTATTTTTGTAGAGGACTGTAATTTTCAAGTCATGGCCTAAGGGTCATCTATACTGGTTATATTTAAAGATAAGGTAAATATGTTATTCAACTGTCCTTAGAGATCCTGCACGATAAAATGTACCAGAAGTGTGTTGTAGCCTCAGTCATATTTACTTATCACTCCTTAAGTTTTTTGCTTTTTCTTTTTAGCATACTTGATTTTTCATAGGAATTTTTTTTTCCCTGAAGTACTGAGAAAAAAATTTAATGCAGCTGCTGCCAACTGGCTTCCACATCTGAGCGTAGGGTATTCCCTTTTGTCTCCCATTTTGGACAGGTCAGCTTTTGCTTTCTGTCCATCTACTGTAACTGAACTACAATCAACTGGCTAATGTGGGTGGGTGGGGAAATGACATAAAATCCTCAAATAACTTTTTGCAGTACAGGAAGGAACAGAACAAAGTGGGTTTCTGTACCAGTTCAAAAAACCAGCCATTAATGACCCTTAAAACAACTCCTAAAACAGGGAGACAGCAGATCTACTGTCTCTCTGTTTATTAGGAAAGGAACAGAAGAATAGGAAGGCAGCAATTTAAAGTATTATGGACTGTTGAATATATTTATACTGCACTCTAGACAACAGTCAAAGGTTCTCAGCTAAAGTACCATTGCAACTGCGATAGGTTGAAACGTCAGTAATGTCTTGAACATTGTCAAAATCCTAGAAAGACTTTCTGTCAAACTGCAAAGAAGCAACTGCCTGTCTGTGACCACCGAGGCACCCTCCCCTCCCAATGTCTCCTGACTGGAATTTGGACTGTGACTGGGGACTTGAGCTAAGACTCCTGTCTAGTCATCTCAAGTCTGAGGAGAAGTAAACCAGGCTCAGGAAAGAAGAATTTATTTGTGTTAAGAATCAGCACTAACTGGTCTCAGGGGGTGGTGGAGAAGGGTTTTGGGTGTGTGATGGTGAAATCTCTCCACACCAAACCGAAGGAGTGAACGCCCCTGCTCTGGGAAGACCATGTACACATGGGACACTCACAGGAAAGGCAGTTGATAAGGGGGTCATAAACCATCAAAGACCCCCAAAGCCACCCCCAACTATTCCTGAGGCCTTCTCTACCACCAGAGGACTGCACGTGAACCAAATGAGGCAACAAATCCAGTGCCTGTCCCAAAAGACTGCAAAGCTTCCTCCCCACCCTCAGGGGAGGTGCCTGGGCAT